CAGTCATGTGTGTTACAATTATGTGAGAATGCATGCTTTTACCAGGTATCTTTATGGCTTTATTTCTTGTGCTCTTCACTGTGAGCATAATGCAAGGGTTTAGATTACTTTCTTTAAGGTCTTCCTTAAGCATGTCTTGTTATGTTTAGGTTTGTGGCTTAATTCATACCATCAGGCATCAGTATCTTGCTGCTCTTGATAGCTATATGAAAGATGTGGAAGAGCCAATTCATGCCTTCGCTTTTATCAACAATAAGTTAATGCAACTGAGCAATGGAGATTATTCTACTTTCAGATCGGCATTCGTCTCTCGAATTCCAGAGCTTGTTAATTTAAGCAGGTTATACTGGTTGTGGATCCCAAAATTGTTTCAGTTCTTTTATTTTCATCTTTAAAAGGATTGTTTCTGCTGTTGTACAAATTCTTCTTCCCTTGTTGAACTTTATGCTTTTATGATTTTTTGCAGAGAGGACACATTCTTGTTAGTTGTTGGCCATTTTAATGATGAAAGTTCACGTATCCTGTCTGAACTTAAGTCTCATCCAAAAAGCCTTTTCCTTTACTTAAAGACAGTCATTGAGGTTCACTTATCAGGCACCCTCAACTTCTCTTATTCAAGGGAAGAGAAGATTGTAGAAGTCTTCAGTGGAAAAGGAGGGAAAGATTCAGAAAAAGTCCTTGAAGCCTACTTCGAAGGAATGTCTAATTTCCCTAAGTTCCTGCGAAATAATCCTCCTCATGTAACTGATGATATGATTGAGCTGTATCTGGAGGTTAGTGCCTATTGACTGCATTGCTTATTTAATAGCTACAATTGCTGAACTCCCCTTGGTGTTCAATAGAACTGCACAGCTTTAAGCTACATGTATGGCATTTGTTTTGTTGTCGTACCATTCAGCTTTCATTTTTATTATTTTTTCTTAAGTTTCGAGTTAAAGGTTAATAATCAGAAAGGAAAATTGTTTGCTTAATGAAAATATTTGTTCTTATAATTTAGGTTGGCCTTCTCATGACCCTGCTTCATGTTTTCCTCTTACAGTTATTATGTCAGTTTGAACGGGATTCGGTTCTCAAGTTCTTGGAAACTTTTGATAGCTATCGAGTTGAATACTGTCTCCGCCTGTGCCAGGAACATGGAATCATAGATGCAGCTGCATTTTTATTAGAAAGGGTTGGTGATGTCGGTAGCGCTCTTTTGCTTACACTTTCTAGCCTTAATGATAAATTTGCAGAGCTTGATAATGCCATCGGAAGTATGGTCTCTAAGGTGTCTTTAGGAACATCTGGTAGCATGGAGTATTTCAACTCTGTTTTGAAAATGAAGGAGGTTTGTACTTAATATCTCTTGTATTAGGAAATAGGGCTAAGATCCTTTTATTTATTTTTATGATTGAAGGTCTTGATGTTATTTCTGATCTATATCAAACAGGTGAATGACATACGAACTTTGTTGCAAGCTTGTATTGAATTGTGCCAACGTAATACCCCCCGTTTGAACCCAGAAGAGTCTGAGATGCTTTGGTTTAGATTGCTTGACTCGTAAGTCCCATCATTTTTGTAATTTTGCTTTTCTTCAAAATTTAAGTCTTAAACCCTCTGTTTTTGTTGTTCTGCTAAGTTCTGATAAATGAGTTGTGTAAAACTAATGGTCTGCTGAGGATAACTAAAAATCCATCATTTATTTTCCCATCTTCCTAATTTAAGTTCAAACTCATTATTTATGGCCATGACATTATAGCATAGTCAATAGTTAAAATTTAAATGGAGATCCATTATATGTGATATAATGAGTAAGTGCATTTATGGTGAAATTCCCAGATGATTAGAGAGCACATCTATGTTGAAATACCTTCAAATAAATAAAGAGTACATCTATGCTTACTGTCCCCTGAGTTTTAATGCAGATTTTGTGAACCTTTGATGGGTTCATACTGCAATGAAAGGGCACCCGAGAAGGAAAATCATGTGGGTCTGGTTGAATCATTGGGTTCTCAAGACGAAGAGGAATGCATAACCAAGTGGAGGATCCCAAAATCTCACAAAGGTCGTCATATATTGAGGAAACTGTTATCTCAGTTCATCAAAGAGATTGTTGAGGGTATGATAGGATACGTTCGTCTTCCAACAATTATGTCAAAACTCCTATCTGATAATGGTGGGCAGGAATTTGGAGATTTCAAGCTTACCATATTGGGAATGCTGGGAACTTATGGCTTTGAAAGAAGAATTCTGGTGTGTTTGTTTATTTTCAATATAAAGATAAGCTTATATACTTGTGACTGAATTTAATTGAAGCTTTTATTTATCATTTATTATCTTTCTTTAAAATTGGGGGAAAAGGAAAAAATGAAATCTGCTTACTACAACGCACGAGCCTGTCATTCACTTGCACCATATGTTCCAGGCCTTGTGAATAGTATAGTGCTTTAGTAAGTAGTGTGATTATATTGGCACGTTGCATATAACTACACCATATACATAATTAGGCAACAAAATATCCTACATGACATTATTTCTGAATCATCGTTTGGATTTGGTTGCAACATGGAATACTCCTCATTCAGTAATAGTTTGCTACGAGTAATTTTAATGTTAATATCTTTGGTGAACTTTTGGTTACTTTCTTTTTTTTCTTTTTCTTTTTTATAACTTTCAGGATACTGCCAAATCTATGATCGAGGATGACACATTTTACAACTTGAGCCTACTGAAGAAGGGAGCTTCTCATGGATATGCCCCGCGAAGTCTACTATGTTGTATATGCAACAGCCTTCTTACCAAGAATTCTTCTAGCTTTCGTGTTCGGGTCTTCAGTTGTGGTCACGCAACTCATCTTCAATGTGAGCTTCTGGAAAATGAGGCATCAACTAGGGGCTTGTCATCCGGATGCCCTGTTTGTTTGCCAAAGAAGAATACTCAGAAATCTAGAAACAAATCTGCTCTTACAGAGAATGGTTTAGTTAGCTCATTTCCCTCAAGACACCTCCCAGCACAAGGATCAACATTGCATCCTCACGAAAACGATGCTCTAGATAATTCTCATGGCCTTCAGCAAATATCACGGGTAAAATATTTGTATCTGCGTATCAGATTGGATTCCTACTTTACTTGGCAGGGATATAACTATACTGAATTTGGGATTTTGCAGTTCGAAATTCTAACTAACCTTCAAAAAGACCAGAGATTAGCCCAGATAGAAAATCTGCCTCAGTTGAGGCTTGCACCCCCTGCAATTTATCATGAAAAGGTGAAGAAAGGAAGTGGAGCTTTAGCAGGGGAAAGCAGCAGTCAAGTTGGGGCAATCCAAAAACCTAGTAAAAACATGCAACTCAAGGAGTTAAAGCTGAAGGGATCATCTCTCAGATTCCCCCTAAAATCAAGTATATTTGGTGAGTTCATTTCGGTTATTACTGATGCTCTACTTGTGAGTTTAATCCCTTTGTGATAACTGATAAGTTCGTCTTTCTACTTTAATTTGCTTGATCTTATCATCCTAAATTTGATTTTTTTTAATCAAGTCGAGTGAAATGAGGTTTGAATCGAATCAAGTCAAATAAATTTGTTGAGTTAAAAAAAAGTTTCCTCTTGTCAACAATATGCTTAAATTCTAAGTTAGAGCATATATTTAAAAATTCTTTTAAAACAAAGATATATGGATTTAACTGTATTAGTCTAATGTTATTGTAATTTTTAAAGATAGTCTAGTGTTATTTTAGATAAAAGATCCATGGATAAAATCTTGGAAAATTCAAGGGATTAACTTATCAGTTTTAATAAAGTAGAGGATGAAATTCATGATTAGACCTACTACTAACTTAAAATTTTAGATATTATCCATGTTTTAATCGTGGAAAAATTGTTTTGCAGGTAAGGAGAAAACAAGCAAATCATAGGAGAATCGGCATGTAAACCATACTGTAGATTTGACTAACCTTTCAGGCAATTAAGAAAGAAAACATGGACATGGTTAACTTCCATGACGATTTGAGGTTTTGATTTGCCAAATCCATGTTGGAATGAATTGTTCATTTGAAATTTTGAAGTATCGGAACATTGATCACACCATCATGTATCTGGCTCTGCTAATTTCTTAGTGAAAAAACTATTTAAGATTATAAGGATCAGAACATGAACAAACTTTGTTTCTTGTTTTTGTCTTTGGTCTTCGATCCAACGATGGTCGAGACTATCATATTGATAACAGTGAAAAATCTGCTTAAAACAAGAGAAATAAGCAACAATGTTTCCTCCAACAGTACGTTAATACTTTATAGTATGTTAGTACAAGTGTTCTAAAAGTTCAGTGATGATTAGTGTAATTTACCCAAAATTATTTGCTAGAAGAAATCTTTTGCAACAGGCACCAACGACCTTTTGAACAACCTGTGTACCCGCCAAAATCTATTGGGTCATGGAAATGCATCTTGAAAACCGTAATGGAAGTGCACCCGTATGGATTCATGGGATCAAGCCGCTTGCCATTATGGCTTCTGTTTATGATGGCTTTTCTCTGGATCAAATTATATCACTCACCAAGTGGCATCTCTGCATCAGCCTTGGGAGTGACAGCAAACATACAATCTTCCTAATACCTGCAATCACCACTCTTAAGCAAATATCAGGCGACCGAGGCAATTAAAATCAGGGCTAATTTAGTATTACTGTTTCCGTTGCACATCGAAAAACCCCTTGCAATAACCAACTTATTGGTTTAGCAAAGCCTTTTGAGTAACATTGCTTCTATTGTCAATATGTGCTTCTGGTGAGTAATAAACAATGCCAAACATACCTGAATCCCTATAAATCTCAGTTTAGCTTAATCAAAAACATAACCAGGCGCTTTCTTACAAGAGCTCAACTAGCCTAACCTTGTGCTAAGAAAATACCATTCTCAAGAATAGCTCACAAGAGGAAAAGGAATTACTGGATCGAAAAAATAGGTAAAACAGTCTCGTACCTCTGGATGAAGAACATTTATCGATCCTGGATATCAATATATATATATATATATCGCCAATAAATCTGCATTATCTGTGATACTATTCAAGGACACTTTGATCTAGATCTTGTTTTCCTAATTAAGTAATCCTCCAACCCAATGCCTGCCTCCACAATTCTCGTGTTTCTTTTTATTTCTACCTTTAAAACCTCTTCTAGAATCTCCTCCATTCTCTCTGGTTCATAATCTTCACAGATTGTTGGAACTACTGTTACCCAAGTATTGATATGCGGTACTTCCCGATACTTGAGCATTTCCCCTAGCACTTCAGTAGCTGCATCGATCTTACCAACATTGCAGAACCCTTTAACTAAGGCGTGAGAAACCGAAAAATGCGGAGAAAAGCCCTTCACCAACATTTCTTCCATAAGCTTCTTAGCCTCATCAAACACCCCTTGATCAGATAACCCCGCAACCAAAGTCCGATACGAAACCGAATTCGGCAAACATCCATTTGAAGGCATGTCCTCAAGAACCTTAACCGCATCCATAGCTCTCCCTTGTCTACAAAATCCCAATATAACCGTATTGTAATGCACAATATCAGGATTACACCCTTTAACCTTCATTCTACAAAGAAGTTTATAAGCTTCTCTAAGCTTCTTCTTCCTACACAAACTATTCAACAAAGTAGTATAACTCAACGAATCCGGTACGAACCCTTTATTCAACATATCTTCCAACAAATCCACTGCTTTATTCACTTGACTCTTCCTACACAGCCCTTGCATTAATATCCTATACGACTCGACATCAGGCACGACGTCTCTCTCAAACATTTTATTGAACAGTTTGTAAGCAATACTCAAGTCCCCATTCAAACAAAACGCACCCATCAAAATGTTGTAAGATTTCGTGTTGGGGAAAACACCGTGTTTATGGGCACTCTTGAAAAGGTCAAAAGCAGGCACGATGAAATTACGATGAGAAACGAGAAGCTCGAGAATGCGATTTAAGTGTCTGGGTAAAGGCTTGATATTGAATTCAAGCATTCTGTAAAACACCGTGAGAGCTTTCTCGGGTAAATCAGCTTCGGCGTAGATTTTGATAAGGTAAGTAAAGAGAGTTGGGGTTACAGTGTATTGATCGGATTTAAGACGAACGAGGAGGTCGTCGACGAGAGAGAAGTGCTTGGACCGGCCGAGTTTGAGGACGAGGACAAGGAAAGAAGAGTAAGAGTGACGAAAACCAGGTTGGGTAGATGCGAAATCGAAGATTTCCTTAGCGAGGAGAGGATCGGACTGGGCGGATATGAGTTTGAGGACTCGTGTAGGGGAAACGATTGGCGGAGGGGACGAATGAGGTTGCTTTGGTTCGTGGGGCGGATCCCTAGATGAGGAGTGGAACAAGAGGAAACATGAATCACTTGCGGGGCTGATGACTGAACGAGATATTGCTATTACAGTTTTTGAGGAATGAACAAGCCATTGAAGCATCTTTTCGTTCGTTTGCTTTGGTCTGTGAGATATGAAAACAGTTCAATACTTAACGATGAGCTAGTCTCTTGCTGACGCGACCAGGTAAAATAGTAGTACGGCCTAAGATATTTTGGCCACCCGACTTACATAACTGGGCCAAGCTCAATTAATGAATATGCAATATTCTTTATAATCACTTATATCTAATTCAGATTAATTTAAATAGCATAAAGATTTATTAAAAATAACCTTTTTAGTTTAATTTATGAAATATATTACATTCAAATTCAAATTCTAAACCTTATTTAAAGATTTTAACATTTTATCTCATAGCTAGATGCAAATGAATTTTATTAGCTCTTTCTTTAAATTCTCAATCATTTGATGACGAAAGATCAAATATTCCTTACAATCTCTGGTGTTCGAATTTATAAATATTTAAGAAAAATAATTATTCTTTGAGATAATTTAATTTGTGCAATTATGATAAATATTATTTTTTTTAAGTTATGATCAAATTAGAGACTTATTACAATAGTTATTGAAAATATTACATTTTGACCCTATCAAATAATAATAATTATTATTATTTAATTTTATCCGTTTTAACAAAATGTTTTAGCTTTAACTCCTCCAAAATATTATATTTATATTGTTAACCCCGACAAAAAAAATTCTTAACTTCCCCGTTGTTTTAAAAGGTTAATTTACCTTTTGACCCTTGACTTTAGTTTTAATATGCAATTTGACTTTTTTTATTTAGATTTAGCCCCTGACTTTAGCTTTAAACAACAAATTGGCCCCTAACTTTGGTAATGAGTTGCAATTTGGCCCCTTTTTTGCGTAATTTTACACTTGACTTTGATTTTGATATGTAAATTGACATATGATAATTATTTATATATCTTTAAAATAGTAATTATATTTTTATTTATAAATTTAAAATCGTTTAAAATATTAAGATTTATATTTTGAATTTTGATATAGTATATATTAAAATACTATTTAAAAATAAATTATAGATTAAAGTCAAAGTCAAAATCAAGAGTTAAACTGTATGTGAAAGGAGAGATGAATCTATAGGGCACGTCATACCGAAACACACCACTAATGTGACAAATCGAAAAATACCACTAACTAAATCGTTCTTATTAAGTAAATATTAAAAGTATAAGATACATGTTTAGTACCTAAATTATCATTTTTATTTTGTTTTATTACCTAAACTTTATTTTTTTTCAAAATCATACCTAACATTTAGTTTAAATTTTAATTTGACACCTTGTTGTCTAAAAACAATGTTCATGTGGCATTAAATGCCAATTTTTTTGTTTTTTTTTTAATTTCTAAGTCAAAATCATTCTTGCTTCCAACATGAATTGAACTTGAAAACTTGCATGATATGCAAATGCACTCAACCATTGAACTAAGCTAGTTATTTAAGTAAATTACACCACATTTTTTATTTAACTTATATAACGACATTACCACAAAATGAATATTTTCTTATGACTATAAGATTCGAATATGAGACACTTTATATTAATGATCGAAAGTTTAGTCACTCAACTATAGTGTGAATCTTTTTTTATTATACTGAACTTAATGCTTACTTATATCATTATTAAATTAAAATATTAATTTTCACTTTATTTAGAAATAATAAATAATTAAATAATTTTTATATTTTTATAAAATTTATATTAAATAATTCTAAAAATATATTTATAATATTTTAAAAATATTTATTTAAATTATAATATTATAAATAATAAACAAATAATATGATTTAATAAGAATATAAGTAAGTATTGAGTTCAGTATAATAAAAAAAGATTTGTAATATAATTGAGTGGTTAAACTTTAGGTCATTAATTTAAAGTGTCTCATATTTGAATCTTATAATCATAAAAAAAAATTTATTTTGTGGTGATATCGTTATATAAGTTAAATACAAAATATTGTGAAATTAGCCTAAATTACTAGCTTAACTCAATAGTTGGGTGCCTCCATCTCATGCAAGTAATCCTCGTTCAATTCACGTTGAGAGCAAGAATGATTTCCCTCATTTTATCATAATTTGATAAATAAAGTTAATTAAAAATAATGATAGAGAAAGGTGATGTGGAAATTAAAAATAATTAAGAAACCGACATGTCATGTCACATCAATATTGTCGTTAAAAATTTAACGACGATGTGTCAAATTAAAATTTTAACTAATAAGTAGGTATGATTTTGAAAACAAATAAAATTTATGTACTAAAATAAAAATAAAATAATAATTTAAGTATTAAACATATAATTTACTCTTTATATTTAATTAATAAAAACAGCTTAATTAGTGATATATTTCCATGTATCACATTAATTAGTGCCTCATGGAATTTCCGTGAAAGGAGACAATGGGAACTTCGAATGAAAATGAAGGCGCGAGGCAATGGGACACCTACCAGTTCTAGACAATTTCGATACCATACAAAATTATTCCTTGATTGATTTTGCCTGGTAAAATATTAGAATCTATGGTAAATTATACGTTTAGTACTTAAACTATTGTTTTTGTTTCTTTTTTATATCTAAATTTTATTTTGTTTTAAAAGCATATTTAACGTTTAATTTAAGTTTTATTTTAATATATTGTCGTTAAAAAATTAACAGTGATTTTGATGTGTCACTTTAAAATAATTTCACATCATCCTTGGAAAATAAAAAAAATATCATGTCAATAATTCTGTTATTTTTTAATGATAATATACCAAATTGAAACTTAAACTAATTGTTAGACAGGATACTTAAAAAATAGTGGAAGCATTGTCAACTGTTGTCATCAAAGACAATTTGCAATGTTGGCTATTATATTTGAAGTAACTCTCATCATCGGTTCCCCAAACCTCCACCTGAGAGGATAATATTCACTTTGCCTGTTATAGCCTCAAACGTAGCAATCGTTGTGACCGGTGAGAGCAAAGCAGAGGTTGTGATGGCGACCGATGATGTTGGACCTGACTGCCCATCGCTCCCTGCACAGTTAGTCCAACCAACAAAAAGAAAGTTGGTATGGTTTCTGGACAAGCCAGCAGCGTCAAAACTGGATGGTCTTCAATTTTTTCGAGTTCTTGACAAATTGTATGGGCGTATGTTGTGGCAGGGTTTCGTAACCCATTAATCCTCGTCCTCAACTCATTCTATTTCTTTTATCTTTTATTCTAATTTTTTTGAGGCGGGAAGTTTGAAATCCATTTTGTAAAGAAAAGGAAAAGTAATAAAAGTTGGGGCCTTGAAACAAAAGATTCAGTCATGGATAATCAAAATATGAAAATTTTCATTTTTGCATGGATCAAAGTCTCATACATCTGTTCTGAAGCAGGATGACAAATACAAATCGACACTTTAAATGAAAACCGCTCTCTGATTATATTTCTCAGAGATGACATTCAAGCAAAAGCTGTAACTTCAAGTTTCTATTGCTGGAGAGAAAGTGAGCATATGTTCAGTAGAAAATCTTTTTAGAGTAGTGTAGTACAATAATATGTTCATAACAAAAGTATTATTGTTTTTGATGGCAACGATTGACAATGCTTCAACTGCTTTCTTTTGGTGGGATTTTATATCGATTCATTATTTCGGGATATATACAGTAAAATAGTTTCAACTAATTTATTACTTTTAAAATTTTAATGAAAAAAAATAAAAAAACTATTATTATTATTATTATTATTATCATCGGATAATACTAAAGGAGCTAATCATCTTGATGACTGGCTCAATGTATGCCACGTCGCAGTTGTTCTTGTCGTTTCTTAAATTAAACCTACAAATGGTGCTTTGTGGACCGAAGGAATGAGGTAGAGATATGAAACGTAAAGAAGAAAATGAGAGAACTACCTCGTAAAAACGAATGTATAGCAAACGTGCCGATGTTATTGATACCAGTATAGTTCAGATAAAGTGAAAAGTATTTTAGACAAAATTTTTATGTTGCCTTTTAAGGTTGAAATATTAGTTTATTTATAATAAACTTTTAGATGAAATTTGACTATTTCTAATACTATCTTTTTAATAAATATATTAATTATCAATTGTTTTTTAAATACTTTTAAACGTTTTAATCAGATGTTAGAAATTCAAAATATACTTATTTTGACAAAGATATTATAGGTAAAAAAATTAGATGTGATTCTAATATATATTTTTTGAATTATTACATTTTTTTAAATAATTTTATTGACAATTAGTAATTAAATCAAACTTAAGATCTTTTCAAATATATTTTGATTATTTATGATTAAATTTATTATTTACTTCTTTAAAATATTTAGAAAATCAATATTTATTTTACTTTAATTATTCATCTACTCAAATATCCTAGTTTACTTATAGACATTAATTTTAAGATTTTATTAACTTATAAATAGAAAATAACTCATTTATATTTTATAATTATTCAGAAAACGATCAAACATTTATTTTAAACTTCTATTAGTGAGTTATTTTTTGCCTAAATTTTTAATCTTATTTTTTTAAAATTGAAGTATTTAATTACGTTGCGACAAATATTTACGATTATTTTCTATCATCTATATAACTAAGGACGTTATTTATAAATATTTTTAAACAGTAAATAAGTTTAAATGAGATAAAATCGTAAAAAGAAGAATAATATTAAAATATATATTTACCAAAAATAATATTAATAAAAAAAGAAGATTAATAAACAAGTATTTCTTAAAAAATGAAAAAGGAAGGACTCCAAAGCCACAAACCCCAGATTCTGCTAACACCCATGTGTGGCATCTTCAACCATGAGATCTCCAAGCATGTCCAGAAGATGCCAACGTGGCAGGCAGCTCGAAAAAAATATCTTGGTTCGAACATCCAACATCCGCTGGACATGTGTCCCTTTATCTCATCTGTCGGCCCCATATACAGTGCCGTCTCTTCACTCACCCGCGGAAAATAAAGAAAATCAGCAACAGTGGCCCGTGTTTCGCCACGTCATCATCACTAACCATAAGCCAATGGCAGTCAACCTTTTGATCCGACTCCTCCGATTTACAAAAATCTTGAAGTTTTCGTTTTTCTCCTTCGCCTTGTTATTCAAGAACCATAAGATATTTTATGCGGTTTTCACGGTCCAAAACGAAAGTTGGATTTAAAAAAACATTTAAGAATTCTTGCTTTTCTTCTCACTTTATGACGAGGTTAATTCCATAATTTCACTGCAACACAAAGTCTTCCTTTCTCTCTTTCCCCTCCCTTTAGCTAACTCTTCTTATCCTTATTGTGACTGGAAAATTGGGTTTTTCTCTCTCTTTTGGTGTTTTAACGAATAGGGTGTTTGAAAATGGGTGAAGCTACGATGGAAGTAGACGTGGAGGTCGGAGCAGCGGAGGCGAGGAATAACGACGATAATAAGAAGAAGAACGAGGAAAATGATGGATCCTCAGAGGTTGTTCGGTGGGAAAAGTTCTTACCTCGTACGGTTCTCAGAGTTCTTTTAGTTGAAGCTGATGATTCCACTCGTCAGATCATCGCCGCTCTTCTTCGGAAATGCAGTTACAGAGGTTTCAATTTCTCCTTTTCTCGGTGGCGTTTATATCTATGGATCTACCGATTATAAGTATTAGTTTGATTTCCTTTGTTTTTATACAGTAGTTGCGGCTGTTCCTGATGGTTTAATGGCATGGGAGATTTTAAAGGATCGACCGCATAACATTGATCTTATATTGACTGAAGTAGAGTTGCCCTCAATTTCCGGATTCGCGCTTCTTACATTGATCATGGAACATGATATCTGCAAAAATATTCCTGTTATAAGTATGTAACCTCAGCTTAAAAACTTATTGTTGCTATTAGGTATGAAGCTAATACGTTGAGATTCCACCTTTTTTTTGGGTGGGGGTGTGATTAAAACAGTGATGTCATCGCAAGATTCAATTACCACGGTTTTGAAGTGCATGTTAAAAGGTGCAGCTGACTTTCTTATCAAACCTGTTCGGAGGAATGAATTGAGAAACCTCTGGCAGCATGTTTGGAGAAGGCACATGGTATGCAGTACTATGTTCAAAGTTTGCTTTCTTTTTTATTGGCTGAAATCAAACATTTAACTTGGATTCACCTTTTTTTTCTCTTTTTGCTGTACTTTTGATCAGCTAGCTAACGGCGGTGTTCCTCTTAAGCTAACTGCTATGGAAAATGAAGTCGAAACCAATGCAGAGAGTGAGAGCAGCCAATTCAGTGATTATGGATCGTCTACACAGAAAAATAAAGAAGAAAGTGATAGCAAAGTAAGCATTTTCTTATCTTTCGGTATAGATTTCTGTAACAGCTTTCGATAGTTCTGCTCAGGTTCTGTAATATGTTGATGGTTTTGCATAACTTTTATAAAATCCTTGTCTATGAAATGTAGTGTTCTTAGAATGTCCAACAGCCAATGGAATTTATAATTTGTTAGGTTTTTGTATATCGCCAAGCTAAGTAATATCTTCATTTTTGTCTGGGGATGTACTGATATTTAAATCTACATTAGAATTCCCGGATCCACGATGCAATCGCATATGTGAGGAAAATTTCTTTTCCAGAATGATTAGGTTGGCTTCATTAAGTTTCACATTCTGCATGTCGTGCCACCACATGTGCAGAAAAGCTGAGTGTACATACATGACAAATATGCAGGGTTTCTCAGAGGGGAAGTGTACCAGTGCCAATCTTAGCGATATGGGCAGAGACCAGCATGGAAATGTTGTTAAAATGGGTCAAGAGTCGATTCGAAATGGGGGTCAAATTGAAGGTATGTTGCGATGTTTTATAAAATTTTTAGTTCCTTTTTCTGATTTCAGCTTAAAAGAAAGAAAATTATCTTCCTCTATGACCGGGGATATCTGACAAAACATTTATTTTAGAAAATTCAAATAGATTGGTGAAGGTGAAGGAGGTTGCTCATTGCAGTGAAGCTTGTGAACCAGATGCATCAAAATTAGAACAGAACTTTGCTTTAATGAAAGGGACGACTCATGGTGGTCGTGTTGGACAACAAAGTAATCAAGGAAATGCAAATGCTTCGAGCAGGGTTGGCTGCAATGATGAGCTGTTTAAACCTCCGACTGGGGCAATTGATTTAATTGGTTCGTTTGATAATCGACCAAAGGGCACCTGTGCACTTTCTAGTACAAGTGACGGTACTGACAAGTTTGAACTTTCTCATGAGTTGGAGCTTTCTTTGAGAAGGTCTTGTTCAAATAGCTCTAAGAACCAAGGTACCAGCGAAAGGCCCATGCTAAACCACTCTAATGCATCAGCATTTTCATGGTAAACATTCCGTTTCATTTCTGTTGTTTCTGAGCTTGAGATGTATAGATGTTTTAGCAAAAAGAAAAAAAAAAGATGTCATTCTGTTGTTTCCCTGATACCTGTTGTGGAGAAACAAAACGAGTTGCTCTTATAATTTTTCATTTTATTCGTTTCTCCATATTTGACCCTATCAATGGACTTCTTTGGCTGTTCTTAAGAATCTATGTTTCATGGAAAACTATATAATAGAAACATTTTGTGAAGAACTAGAGACATAAGTGAATCCTTGGAGTGTGTTATTGAGTACTGAGGACAGTGGAGGCAATCTTAGAGGTAGCTACAGTGCCATAGGTTATTCAATACTCACTGAAATTTCCAATAAAAGAAGTGGTTGTTTATCTAATCTCTATTTCTTGAAATTTTATGTTGCATGCAGTTTTTTGATGACTGCTAATTGATTTTTGCAGGTATAACAATAGCAATTCTTCACAGGCGGTTTTCTCTACACCAGTTGGCAATCAAGATGCATTGAAAGAGAATGACAGTAAATCCAAACTAGACCTGGAAAGTAACAATGATACTTGTAAACCTCATGTTGTTCCATTGAGTGATAGTATGGAGAATCTAACTAATCCAGTCGCTTGTCAGTCAGAGCCAATAGTTCCGAGCACCCAACTTGGGCTTATTCATGTTCCAGGAGTGAGGATGGATGACATGCATCCTGGATGTAATAATGTTTTTCCTCACGTTTATCATGCACAATCAAATCCTCCCCTTGATTCTAGTTCAGAGCCCGCTGGACGGCAAGAACAATCTCCCATTCATGTGAGCACATCAGCTCACACAAATCCTGATGTTCATGACCCAGAACAAGGTTACAACCTGTCTGATGAAGGGACTAACTGCTCTATTGACCAGACTGTCAAAGAGGAAACCAAGCAGGAGCTTGCTGGGCTACTAAGGTGCATTTCTCCTATTGCTAATCAGAGTGCTTGCAGCAGTTTATGTGATGGTCTTGATAATCACGAAAAAGGCAGCGCGCATGGAGATATTTCAAGCAGGAGTAGTGCTAGCACTACAGGTGCTGCAGCAATTGATAGGGGCACAACTATTAGGAGTTTCAATGACAGCAATTCCTTCATTCAAGAGGGACTGAAAGGGATGGATTCTCATCGCTCCAGCCAAAGAGAAGCTGCTTTGACAAAGTTCAGACTTAAGCGGAAAGATCGATGCTTTGAGAAAAAGGTATATTATTATCACTACTATAACTGTGATTGGTTGAGTTTAGACAAAAGCTTTGCATATGGAACTTATTGTTGTATGCAGACAGCAATGTACTTTCTTCCACCAAAATGTGGTTTGGTGTCGCGTAGCGCCACAGCCACTCTTCAGCCAAAATTTTATCAAATTTCTGCCCTCTAATCCATCTTTTATGTTGCTGATGTGCTATTGTTCCAACATGTCCTTTCTTTTGTAAAGGTCCTGCTGTAGGCACTAGTATTTTTTTAACTATATTTAGAACCTAATGTTTTAATTTGCATCAAAATGACTTTCCTTGTAAACCTCCTCTAATGAGATGACATTCCTAGTTTGCCCTGTGGTGAGAAAAGAAAATCAGTAACAAAACCCTTATATAGCAGCATGTCCGTTTCTTTAACAATTAAAATCTTTGCACAGGTTCGGTATCAAAGCCGAAAGAGACTGGCAGAGCAGCGTCCCCGAGTGAGAGGACAGTTTGTCCGTCAAGTGCAAAATGACACCCCCGTACATGATGTTGATGCGCCTAATTTATGACGATCAAACCCGTCTTCCCATCGACATGAAAATAAATTCACGCTGAAAACATGAAATCATTTAATATTTTGTTTGCAAGCATGGGGGCAGAAAAGTAGAACATGTGTTGGGCGAAGATATTTTGCAAGCTCCATTAGTATTTGCTAATGGGTGACGACAGTAGTTTTCTGCATCCAACTCATAGAGGTAGTATTGTACTTATTTCGTGAGGCAGTCTTGGTTTTTTTTCCCTGTGTGTGGTGGTTAATCCGCATTTGACAACTTACTACTCGTAGTTAGGCAGGTTAGTTGTATAATATAATTCGCTTCAATAGGATAAAAGAAAGAGTCTTGGATTCTGTGTTGGTTATTTATCTGTTGGATTGCTCAAGTTATTTATCAATAAGTTAAATAATATATAAGAGGATATTAATTTATTAAAAAACAGTATGTGAATATATCACGTCAAATGGTGATCAAAATATATATAATTTTTTAATAAATCTAATACAAATTTTAAAATTTAGATGGTAGAAGATATTAACTTCCTAAAATTTGGATAACCATTATTTTAGTTTGTCCTTAAAAAAAATTATATGAAGAGGGTGAAAAAGTATCCAATGGAAAAAGCAGCTCACTTTAGCATACCCATCGAAGCATTCCTCCTCTCTTTTGCGGTGACTTGTTACATTCTCTACCATATTCTCCTCTATTTTTTTACACACTTTCAACACTGTCACCCCGCCCGCCACCATCACCACCCACGAACCATCCTCCCTCTTTCACTTTTCTATGCACTTTTACACTACAAGCATCACATTTGTATGCATTTTACCATAACAGACCAAAACCAACCACCGCAAGATCCTCCGCCTCAGCAACCACCACCTAACGTGGGCGAAGGAAAGCCTCCTAAACCCAACCCTCCAACCACCGTCCAAGGAGGCGCAGCGCGCCGGTCCTTTTGCTTATGCATTTTCATCGTCCTCCTCTTAGCAGGTGCAGCAGTACTCTCCGTGTGGCTCGTCTACCGTCCCCGCAAGCCTCGTTTCATCCTCTTCGGTGCCGCCGTCTACGAACTCAATGCCACCTCACAACCCTTCATATCCAATTCCATACAGTTCACGATCGTTACGAGAAACCCCAACAAGAGAGTCTACATCTTTTTACAACAAGTTGCAAGCTTAAGTCTCTTATAGAAACCAACAGATCACTCCCACCGTGGACTTGTTGAAAGTATTAAAATGGTTTTCAAGTTTGGTAACCAACTTTGAAAAAATGATTTTCAAAGTTTGGTAAATGTTTCTTTGAAAATGGTTTTCAAAGTTTGGTAAATGTTTCTTTGAAAAATAGTTTTACAAAGTTTGGTAGATGTATGTTGAAAAATGATAATGGGATAATCACAATTAATCCCTAGGTTTTAGGGTATTTACAAGATTAAGTCCTTAAGTTTCAACTATAAATACCCTAGCTCATTTAGCTTCAAAACCATCCCAAAAATCATTTCTTTCTCCCAATACTAGAGAGTTTTCTTGTGAGTAATGAGTGTTTTGTAAACACCTGTAAATTTTCTCTCTTAGTAAAAGATCTGCAGCAGTCCGGAGACGTAAGCACAATTGGCTGAACTCCGTTATCAATTTCGGGTATTATTTTTCCGCTTTTATTTTGTATTATCACTAATCTGGTTATAGGGGAAATTACTTGTACTTGGTTTATTTCCCAACAACTGGTAATCAGAGCTTTTGGGTTGTGAATTTTGTCAATTTTTTCGAGTTACTATTCGGGTTACTAGTGAATTTCGTGAATAGTGAAATTCGGTCGGCGATACGAGTTTGTCGACGGAGGTGTTCTAATACACGGCGGTTCGTAAAATTGTCAGAAACGATCCAAACGAAGCCAGATTCGAGTGGGAGCGATGGTTGCAGACGAAGGGAATGTGAAAATTGAAAAGTTCGATGGTGCGGACTTTGGATTTTGGAAGATGCAAATTGAAGATTTTCTATACCAGAAAAATCTATATCAACCCCTCTCAGGAAAACAATCAGAGGGCATGAAGAATGAAGACTGGGCTCTTCTCGACAGACAAGCCCTCGGATTTATCCGACTGACGTTATCCCGCAATGTTGCTTTTAACATAGCAAAGGAAAAGACCACGGCGGGTCTTATGACAGCTCTCTCCAGTATGTATGAGAAGCCATCGGCCTCAAACAAAGTTCATTTGATGAGGCGATTATTCAATTTGCGGATGACGGAAGGGGCATCGGTGGCACAACACCTAAATGAACTCAACACAATCACAACCCAGTTGAGTTCAGTGGAAATTGAATTTGATGATGAAGTTCGAGCTTTAATTCTCTTATCATCTTTACCAGACAGTTGGAATGCTACTGTTACAGCAGTCAGCAGTTCGTCGGGAAACAGCAAATTAAAATTCGACGATGTTCAAGATCTGGTACTGAGCGAAGAAATTCGACGGAGAGAATCGGGTGAAGCATCAACCTCCTCAGCCTTGCACACGGAGTCCAGAGGGAGAACTTCAGAAAGAAATTCAAATCGTGGCAGATCGAAATCCGGAAGGGGAAAATCAAGAACAGGAAATAAAGATTTTACCTGTTATAATTGCAGCAAGAATGGTCACTTTAAAAGAGATTGCCGAGCACTGAAGAAAAATACCAGCGCACAGGAATCTGCCAACGTGACAGAGGAGACAGGTGATGCCATGATTCTAAGCGTCAACAGTCTGATTAAATCATGGATCTTAGATTCAGGGGCATCTTTCCACTCCACCCCATGCCGAGAAATCATGGAAAATTATGTCAGTGGTGATTTTGGGAAGGTTCATCTTGCTGATGATGAAACCTTGAAGATCGTCGGAAAAGGAGACATTCAACTAAAGCTGCCAAACCAGACCACCTGGAAGCTGACAGGAGTGAGACATATTCCTGGTCTCAAAAGAAATTTGATTTCTGTAGGACAGCTTGATGGAGAAGGATGCAGTACAACCTTTTCAGGTTGTGAATGGAAGATTACCAAAGGAGCACTCGTCATTGCTCGTGGTAAGAAGACTGATACTCTCTATGTAACCTCAAATTTAGAGAATATCATTGCAGTAGCAGATGCTGATGGAAAATCAAACCTATGGCACCAAAGGCTTGGCCATATGAGCGAGAAAGGGATGAAGACACTTTTGTCAAAGGGGAAGCTGCCAGATCTAAAGAATGTAGATGTCGGACTATGCGAGGATTGCATCTTTGGCAAACAAAAGAAAGTCAGCTTTGCAAAGATTGGTAAGACACCCAACGCTGAAAAGTTAGAAATAGTTCATACTGATGTATGGGGACCATCTCCAGTTCCATCTCTTGCAGGCTCATTATATTATGTCACCTTCATTGATGATTCTACAAGGAAGGTGTGGGTTTATTTTCTGAAGAAAAAATCAGAAGTCTTTGATACCTTCAGAAAATGGAAGGCCATGGTGGAAAATGAGAATGATATGAAAGTCAAGCGGTTGAGGTCTGACAATGGAGGAGAGTACAGAAATAGGAGATTCAGAGATTTTTGCGCAAACAATGGGATCAAGATGGAGACAACAGTTCCCATGTCACCGCAGCAGAATGGCGTAGCAGAGCGCATGAACAGAACTCTGAATGAACGTGCCAGAAGCATGAGGATACATGCCGGATTGCCCAAATTTCTATGGGCTGAAGCTATTAACACTGCAGCTTACCTGATCAACCGTGGGCCCTCAGTTCCTTTGGATGGCAGAATACCAGAGGAAGTTTGAAGCAAGAAAGAAATAAACCTTTCACACTTAAGAGTGTTTGGTTGTATTTCTTCTGTACACATAGACTCTGCTGAAAGAAGTAAATTTGATGCTAAGTCCAACAAATGTGCCTTTGTTGGTTACGGCGGTGATGAGTTCGGTTACCGATTTTGGGACTATGAAAATCGGAAGATCATTAGAAGCAGAGATGCCATTTTCAATGAGAATGTGATGTACAAAGACATGTCAACTGTAGAATCAAGCAGCTCCAATACCAAAGCTGAAACAAAGGAATTTGCTGAGTTTGAGGAGATTTCTGGAAATGATGTTCAGATCAGTCCTGAAGCAGTTCAAGAAGAACCAGACACACCAGAACTAAGACGCTCCTCCAGAATTCCTAAACCAACCCAACGGTATTCTCCTTCTTTGCACTACTTGTTGCTGGCTGACAATGGTGAACCAGAGTGCTATGATGAAGCAATGCAAGTGGAGGATTCAGTCAAGTGGGAGTCTTCCATGAAAGATGGGATGGACTCGATTTTGTCAAATAAGACGTGAGAATTAGCTGAATTACCACCAGGCAAGAAAGCGCTTCACAACAAGTGGATTTACAGGATCAAAGAAGAGCACGATGGGAGCAAACGCTACAAAGCGAGATTGGCTGTCAAAGGTTTTCAGCAAAAAGAAGGTATTGACTATATTGAAATTTTCTCTCCAGTCGTGAAACTGTCTACAATCAGACTGGTGTTGAAAATTGTAGCTGCAGAGAATTTATATCTTGAGTAGTTAGATGTAAAGACAGCTTTCCTTCATGGTGATTTGGAGGAAGAAATCTATATGAGGCAGCCAGAAGGCTTCATAGAGGCAGACAAGAAAAACCTGGTATGCAGGTTGAAGAAGAGCTTGTATGGTTTAAAACAAGCTCCTAGACAATGGTACAAGAAGTTCGATAGTTTCATGAGTAGCAGTGGTTTTACCAGATGCCAAGCAGATCTTTGTTGCTACATCAAGAGGTTCGACAATAGCTTCATTATTTTATTGTTGTACGTTGATGACATGCTCGTTGCAGGCTCAGACATGCAAGAGATTATAAATTTGAAGCAAAAATTGTCAAAGCATTTTGCTGTGAAGGATCTGGGCGCTGCAAAGCAGATTCTTGGGATGAGGATCAAGAGAGACACAAAGTCAGTGACTTTGATATTATCACAGGCTGAGTACATCAACAAAGTACTCTCCAGGTTCAACATGCAAGATGCTAAACCAGTAAGTACACCTTTAGGTGTTCATTTCAGACTCTCCAAAGAACAGTCACCAAAGACGGAGGAAGAACGTGCACACATGGTGAAGGTGACGTACGCCTCAGCGATTGGAAGTCTGATGTATGCCATGGTTTGTACCAGACCAGATATTGCTCAAGCAGTGGGAACTGTTAGTAGGTACATGAATAATCCGGGCAAGGTACACTGGGAAGTAGTCAAATGGATCCTCAGATATCTGCGGGGTACCACAAATAAAGCACTTTGTTTCAAAGGTGGAGATACGATACTGACAGGCTATGTAGATGCTGACTTAGCCGGAAATGTTGACATCAGAAGGAGCACTACAGG